AATGAAAAATTAAGATAGTAATAATTTAAAAGCCAATTAATGTAATTTTAATCTTTTATTTTTAAATTACATTTATTAAATTATATTTTTTAAATTCTATTTCTTATATAAGATTTTTCATACTATTGTTTTTTACATTATATTTATTTTAACCAAAATGAAAAATTTCTGGAAATGAAAATAAATTGTAATTCGCAACTCGCGAGGTTTTTTTTTACTTTTTGTTTCCCTTTTTTTTGGGAAAAAATTATGAATAATAAAAACAGAGTTATTATTATCGTCGTCGTCGTCGTGTATATAGGTTGCAGTGAAGCGTCTGAAGCGTATATAAAAGGAAAAGCAAGCTCAAGTGAGAAATCTGCTATGAAAAAGGGAAGCACTTTCTTTTGTCACTTGTGAAGATTATACAGCGGAAATCGACGTTGAAAAAAAAGTTGCCAACAAAAAAAAAAAGAGGGGAAAAAATGTGTAACAACCGCAAAATAAGAGAAAAAAAAGGAAAAATTCCACAAACACAGTTATTTAACTATTTAAAGAGTTTTTTCACGTCACTTCAAATTGTGAAATGACACTGACAAGTTTAAAAATGAATCATGAAAAAAAAGTTGCGAACAATATTTTTGTATTTTTCTTCCACTTTAAAAATTATTTTTTACTGAATGAAGAGGAAGAATAAATGGGAAATATTTTTTTAAAAAAATACAATGAATTTAAAAATTGAAAATTTATTAAAATTTTTAGGAAAAATTTTAACATTTAAAAATAAAAATTTACAGATTTATTTCAAAAGAAAAAAATAAAAAGTTAATTTAAAGATTTAATTGAAAATGTAAAAATCAGAAAATTGAAAAACTGGATAAAAAATTGTAAAAATAAAGACAAATAAATAAATTAAATATAATTATGACGCATTTCCATAAAAAATAAGAAAATAAAAGAAGAATAATAATGCTGACACTGAACCTTGTCCCTAACCCTCGCGTGATTCGTTATCACTATTTCCTGAGATCTGCAGTCGGCACGTGTGTGGGCGCCAGGTCGAGTGGGTGTGATTAATACAACTTGACTTCTTCAAACTTATTCAATAAGATTCTTTCAAGTTCTTTGAATCTCTCATCGATTTAAAAATTTTCTCTCACTTAAAAAAAAGAAAAAATTACTTCTGTTTATTCTAACTTAAAAAAAATTATTTGCCTTCTATATCTATCCCTTTGTCAAACCAAAAAAAAAATTTACCGAAAAAATATACTTTTCCTCTTTAAAAAAAATATTATAACAAATTATTTTTAAACATCAAATTTCCATTTACAGGAAAAGAAAATTTTCTTCTTTATAAATTTTATGACATCATTCTCAAAGCGATAAGGTTTGTTTTTTTATGATTCGAACAATGAATTCTCTCTTTTATCGCGCTTCTTGGCTTTTAATGTTCTCGCATCAGAAGAAAAATCGTTAAAAAAAATTATTGTTTTAAATGAAAGATAAAGAAGAACTTTTCTTTTAAGATTTAGTACATAATGTGAGAGGAATGAGAATAATATAAAAAGAATGGGAAAAAGAAAACAAAACATGTATGTCTCTCTTGATATTTGAAAAGAGTATAGAGAGAAAAAAAAATGTCTTGCGTTCGAAAAATGGGAACATGTTGTTTCTGATAACATTTTCTATGGAAAAGATCCTTTCTGACTAAATGACACTCAACTGAATAGCTCTGGTGAGCTTTACAAAACTTCCTTCAAAAGGACTTTTCCTTCGGTTGAGATGAAATCTTTTTTGAATGACTTTGGTTTTTCATTGGAAATTTTCGTGTATATTCGTTCTTTTTCAAACTTTTTGAAAAGCGATAGGGCGATTTATTTCTTCTTTTGCAAATTGAATAATTAGTTTAATTGGAAAAATAGAAATCAATGTTCTGTTCATTCGTATTTCTTAAATTTTTCTTTTTTTGCATTTTTTGCATTTAACAAAAAGTAATGGACAAAAATTAGCTTTCTCATCACAATATTTAATTAATAAATAAACTAGATAAATTTACTACATAAATAAACATTAATTATTTAGTAAATAAAAATACAATACTTAATTATTAGATAAATAAACATTACTTATTTACTAAATAAAAATACATTACTAAATCATTAGATAAATAAATTTATTTATTTACTAAATAAATAAACACTATTATTTATTGTCCATTTAGTATTTCTTTACTTAAAAAAATTGTTTAATAAATAAATTTGTTTAAACATTTATTTAATAAATAAATAAACGTTATTTATTTACAATTTACTTTCATTTACCTAATCAATAAAAATAAAAATTAACTAAAAGCACGTGCTTGTGCTCAATGCCCGCAAATATTTGAAAACAAAAATACCTCTTTTCTGAAAATTGACTATAATTCTCCTTAATTTCGATTTTTTCTTTTCCCAACTAAAAAAAAAATAATTGGTAATATTTTGTTTCTATTTTCAAAAAATAATTTTAAAAAATATGGAAATCACTTTTTTCAAAAACTTTTTACATTGAAAAATTGACATTTTCTCAATGTTTTATGTTTCCTTGTGAAAGTTGAATTTTTTTGGTAAATTACACAAAATATTTTTTTCTAAACCATTTTTCTTTTTGCAAAACCTCAAAAAAAGTGACGTTTTCTAACTCCAATGTTTCCTCTGAGTTGAATTTAAAGTGACCTAATCTGCTATTGATAGTATCGATACCATGGCAAAAGTAAATGTCGAGGTTCCATGAAACGTGTTCTGCATTACGAATGTACTTTATATATATTTTTTTTCGTTTTTTTATTCCAGTAAAAGTTTAGCATCCTCCATATATTTATATTCACATGTATATATATATATACATATAGTACATGTCACATACACAAAAGTATCAAGACATTCAAACAAAGAATTGACGCAAGTAAATTTTCATTTTCTATTTTCATTTCTTTTTGCTTTTTTTTTCTTTCAAGTGACCCATTCATTTTTGCAAAAAAAAAAAAAGAAAAATATAATCGTTATTGACATGACAAAGAACTCGTTAAGTTTTATCCCGTTGGTTTTGTTTAGAGAGCCTCTGGGCATGCAAATTTATAGTGAGCAGATGCTCGCTTTTTAACGTTCTGCTCTTGCATTAAAGCAAAAGTACATAGAGCATAAAAATGTAGACGATTTACTTTGCAATTATATTTCTCTATTGTGTGTGTGTCATTTCCTGAAAACGGATTTTTCCCTCCCCACCATTCTTTCTCGGTCTCTTTTGAAACCACATTTAAGAGCATTTTTTATTGTCGTTTTATTATTGTGTAGGAAAAAAATATTTCATATCGCAGTTTATAATATAAATTTACTTGGAATATAATCTTTTATATCTTCTTTTTTTTTGACGAATGTAATCTTTTTTAAATTGATGTCAATTTTTTATGAACATGTCAGAAATTTATTTTATTAGTAAATTTTTAATTCTTTATTATTTGAATTTATAAATTTATAATACAGAATTTTAATTTTTTAATTCTAGCGTGGAATCTTTAATTTGAATTTGATTGGAATTTTTAATTCTTCAACATTTTAAATTTTAAATAATTAATACAAAATTCTATTTTTATTTTAACGTTATTTTTATTTTACTTTTTAATGTTCATTTGTATTTTCGAATTTTAAATTTGATTTGCTTTTGAATTCTGTATTAAATTCTGTATTAAAAATTAAAATATTTAATTTAATTTTACTTGTATTTTCTATTTTATTTTGATTAAAAAAATATTTTTTATTTTACTTATTTTAATTCCAAACTCAATTTCATTCTGCTTTTAACTTTATTGTGTTTTAGTTCAAGTTCTTGTTTTTGTCGAGAGTTTTAGTTTAAAATTTCATTTCAAATTTTTTTAAATGAAAAAAGTAAATTTTGTTGTTGTTGTTTCTTAGTAGTAGTAGTGAATAGTTAAGTTAAAAAGTAAATCAAGAATATTTCTAATTTTACCTTTACTGCATTTTGGTTTTCAGTTCTTAAATTTCTTTTTTATGTTTGTTTCCTTCTTCAGAAAAAATTAAATTTTTTGTTGTTGTTTCTTGGTACTAGTGAGTTGTTAAAGAAGAAATAAAAAAATATTGTAGTGCCAAAAAAGTAAATATGAGCATGAGGGAAATAAAATTTAACTTAGTACTGGGTCATCAATTTTATGCTTGTTATTTTTTTTTCAAGCCAAAACGATGGATTTTTTTTTTATGACAAGAGGTAAATTAAACAAGGAAAAGGAATATTTTACTAGGACGAGAAAGCAACGATTGGGAGGGCAATTGATTCTTGTTCAGTAGTCGCACATGTTCATTCGATCGAGGGCATGGAAATATGACCGGCGTAAAATGAGCTTATGTTCGAATTGAAACTTGAACATTGTGCCAATGATTTTTACATTTGTTACAATTTCCAAATAACACAATTTCTTTTATTTCTTTTTTTATTTTAGAAAAGAAATAATATTTTTAAATAAAGAAAATAATGTTTTTAAATAAAAAAAATACCTAATACTTTTAAATATAAATAAATAAATATTTTTTGTGGCAAAAAAATAAATAAATTTTTCACTTTTAAAAATAAGAATATAAAATTTTCAAATAATACAATTTCCTCCACTGTAATATAATTATAATACTTGTTTCTGTTTTTTTCTATTTTTTAAAATAATTTTTACCCATAAATTTTTCCACAAAAATTAATTAATAATACTTATTGTTTAAAATAAGTAAAAAATTTCATTTGTTAAGAAAGAATACATTTTTTCATCAAGAAATAAATTCCCTTAATATTTTTCAAAATATAGAACACGTAAATATTAATATTAGATACAATTAGAAATGTTTTGCGGATAAATATTCAAAAAGTAAATTTTAAATGCAAATTACAGAAAAAATAATTTTTATTAACTTGAAAAGAAAATGAAAATAAATTTTTTTTTTGAAAATTGAAAGTTCGAATACTAATATCGAAAAACTTGCCTTAATTCGAAAAATGTGACTGTTCGCAAGAAACGAGACAGGTTGCTGCTGTTCGTTGTGTAGTTGCCTTTAATTTTCACCTCCTTTCATCTTAAGCCTCATCAGTGCTGATTTGCCTTCCTTTTGTTTATTAACAATGCATGTCAAGCAATCATAATACACTTCCCTTCGCACGACAGTAATTATTATTGATCTGCAACAGAAAATAATGGAATCCTTATTATACTCACTGTTCATAATTATTGTCTAATAAATTATTTTTTTTCAGTCAATACTAAAAGTTTCACATTGAGCAATCTTGTCTGACTAAACCGATTTTTACTACTGATTCTGTCTTATTATTACTCTGTTTACTATTAACAACGGCTGACTAAAACCGACTCTTACTACTTACTTTATCTAATTATTTTTTTTTACTTCTAGTTTTGTCTGACTAAAACCAATTCTTACTACTAACTTTATTTGCTTATTTTACATTTAAAAATTACAAAGAAAAAAATTGCAAAAAAAATTGCAGAAAAAATTGCAAAAAAACACAGAAAAATAAGAAAATTTACAAAAATTGAATATTTGTCTAACTTTGAAAACTTTTTGATACTAAAAGAAAAAAAATCACGATTAGAAAGCACGTCTGACTGAAACTGACCTGTATCACTGCAACAACAAAGATTCAAAATACTTGGAGAATTGTGTCTGACAGTGACTGACCTTAACTACTTGATGAAATTAAGTGAAAATACAAATTTGATACAATAAATAATAATGAAGTTTGTTAATCTAAATTATAATTAGTTTTGTATTATATCAAAATTATTATGTCCAATTAGTGAATTTTCATTTTCGCAAAATTTATGGGAATTCCGTCCGGAATAACAATGAGATTATGACGTCAACTTTAGCAAGCTCGAGGGATAATTCATCTTCACAGAAAGTACACCTGGTACTTGAAAGCTCAAACAGAATATTATGGTCCGCGCACGTCTTGTTCATTCTCCTCTTTATTTATTTAATTTTCTGTTTATTCTTTTATTTATTTCTACATTCCTCCAATTGATAATTATTACTTTTATTCATTTGTTTCTTTATATTTTTTAATTACTTCTTCTTCTATTCATTTATTTGTTTATTGACTTATTTCGGTAGTCATATATTTGTTTTTCAAATATTTATTTTTTAAATATTTATTTTTTAAATATTTATTTTTCAAATATTTATTTTTCAAATATTAATTTTTTAATATTTATTTATTCCAATATTTATTTCAACTAGCAAATATTTATAAATTTCTCTCTTTGTTTATTTCATTAATTATCCGTTTATTTAATTTGTTAACTTATTTTGTTTTTATTTATTCTTTTCATTTTATTTATTTTACTTAAGTTATCATTCCTTTAATTATTTATCGAATTGTATATTTTTCCCTCATTAACTTATTTCATTATTTATTCATTTCTTCAAATTTTTTTGTAATTATCTCAATAAATGTTTTTTACAATTATTCATAAATTTTATGATTATTTCTATTTATTTTTGCAGCTATTACATTTTTTTAAAAACTGTTTTACGACCAAACGAAAAATTGCAAGAACTGAAGGTTAGGTCTGACTAAATCAGTTTGTACTACTGATTTTTAAATAATTCAAAATTATTCGTCTGATTATTAGTGTGTTTACCTACTTTACTGATTATTGCAAGAATTTGAATAGGTTTTCCTACCTTTTGCTTCTAATTCTAGTAATCCGATAAAAAGTTCGTTTATTAAAATTAAAATTGCAATTATTTTAAACTGTTTTGATACTAAGAGAAAAATTACAACAATAGGACTTTGCGTCTGACTAAAGACATTTTTACTACTGATTTTTGAAAAATCGTAAATGTCTGTCTGATTACTGGTTTCTTTATCTACTTTACTGTTTTTTATAAACTCATTTTTACATGTCTGACTAAAATTGTTCGCTTACTGCTAATTAGGGAAATAATAAAAATGCAATAATCGTTGCCTGACTAAAACTGACTTCTACTACTGATAATGAAATAGCAATCTTTGCCTGATTGAAACTGACCTCTACTAATAATACTAGAATAGAAATCTTCGTCTGACTAAAATCAACCTCTACTACTGATACTACAATAGAATTCACTAGTCTGACTAAATCCGGCTTTTACTACTGTTACTACTTTTACTACTAATTTAAAAATTTAATATTTTCATATAGTCTCACTACTAAGAGAAAAATTACAAGAACAGAAGTTGATGTCTGACTAAAATAGTTTTTACTACTGATTCTTGAAGTGTTTATAATCGTTTGTCTGACTATTAGTGTCTTTACCTACTAGCAGAATTTTTTAACTGACTTCAGGTGAATTTTGCTGATAATAAGATTCATTCTCACTATTGATGCTTAATTGCTAATTAATATTGTCGTAATTGTTATAAAAATAATAATTGTTAATTTCTTTATTTTATTTTTTAATTTCTTATTTTTTTATTATTCATTTTGTATTTTATTTAATTATTTTATTCTTTTTTATTTGATAAAATTATTCTTTCATTTTCTATTTAATTATTTATTTTATTTTTCATTTTTTAAAATTATTCTTTCTTTTTTATTTAAATTAACACAAATATCTGCGAGTAGAAAAAAATTTCTTCCAATTTATTAAGCAAATAAAATTACATCGACAGAGGGGGAAAAAAATACGTAGAAAACGCAATTCCCACAGGACGTGAAAATTGAGAGTGGGGGAAAGACACGTCTGTCTCTTTCTCTTTGCATGTTGTAATGAAACTTTGCGTGTTTATAAATTGACAGGATATTTATAATGAACAGAGTAAAGTCATTGTATACAGGAAGATTTGCTTTTCAAGTCTCGTGAATAAACGTTGGTAATGGAAAGGTGATGAGGGGAATAAAGAGGGACTTTCACAATAGTCAGCCTTGGCCTCTTGGCCCGATTCATGCATGCCTGAACATGTTACACTTACAATTTTATAAGGCATGTCTGAAGAAGGAAGAGTCTACAAGAGGTCCTTCATTCAGGATCATCTTTATAATATATACACATATATACCTATATTGTATATACACCCGAATACAAGACGATTTTCTATTTTCCACACCTTTTCTCCTTCATACAAGAAAATTCGATCTACCCAACTTCCATCAACACTTGCCTTTCTTTTTTCTTTTTCCATAAATTCAATTTTTTTCCAAAATTAAGAAATTCGTTTACGTTCAATATTTTCCTTTCTTCCATATTTTTCTTCAAAGAAATTTTCCAAAGAAAAGTGAAATTATTGGCAATATTTTTTTCAAGTTCAGAATCATGGGAAAATTATAGGAAATTTGTCGTTTTTTGAAAAATTTGCTTTTTTGAGAATCCTCGATATGCAATACATTTCTTTATCTCAAACTATGTGTAAAAATAAAAAAATTATATTTAGAAAAATTGAAATTTTCTTTTTCAAAGTTTTGTATTTTAAAATTATTAAATATTCAATTTTATTCGAAAATTAGTATTAATTAAAAAATCTCAAAAGATTTTCAAAAGTGATAAAAATTATTATCAATATTTTATTTTTCATTTTTAAATCTTGTAAAAATTAATTTCATAGTAAAATTAAAATTTTCTTCTCAACTTCTATAAAATGTTTTGTTGAGAAATAAATTAAATTCTAAAAGGTAGGAGTGGGGGGTGAGTGGGAAAATTCAAATTTATTTATACCAGTGGTAAAACTTTCTGTATAATAAATTTTATTGACAAGAACTCAAAAAGAACACTTAAAAAGTTTTTTTTTCTCTTTTCTTTTTTTTATATTCAAGACACTATCGTCTTTTGTTTTCTGACAGCACACAAAATGTATTTGTTTGAAATTTGCATTTTTTGTTTTTCCTTTTTCATTTTGCATCGTTTCTAAAAGTTAAAAACTTTCTACTGAGAGACGGTTTCCGTTTATTTTAACAACGCGCAAAAAGGATTCAAAAAGTACAACAATAAATTATTGTATCAAATGCCATGAATTTACATGTATATCACTGTATATTTCTTTTTTTTTCTTTATCCTCTTGGAGACAAATCCTGTTTCCTTTTCTTTTTTTTTTTACTTTTTGCCAGTTTTGTCCCCCGACCTTGCCGTGAGTGTGTAATCGGATTATTTGAATTCCCGTTTCTTCATGTCATGTGTCTGCCTAGATTTCTCTCTTTTTTCTCCTTCTCTCTCTATTTTTCTCTCATCTTTTCTCCTTTTCTCTCTTTTTCTCTCCTTTTCTCTCTCGTTTTCTCTTACTCCCACTTTTTAGTCTCTCTTTCTCTCTCTCTCGCTCTCTTACTCTCTCTTATTCTGCCTCTCTATTTAAAGCTTCAAAGAGATTATTGGCTTTACGCGTGTTTTCTCACTAATTGGATTGTGTTAAAGAGCCATTCGAGAAACTTGAGTGGATCGTTCGCGAATAAAAATTGTCCCCTCCCCCCTTCACTTTACCCTCACGCTTACTAAACTGATAAATAAAATACCAGTAATTACTGATTTTTCCTAGCGAGTAATTGATTTTTTTTTTTCAACGAAAACAAATTTGGTCCTATAGAAAAGGTTTGTTAAAATTGGCTAAATATTGGAAAATTTATTTTTGTCAATATTAACTGAAAACAATGGTGCAAATGAAATAATCATATAAAATCAGTAGAAAACATCACTTTCAGTCCGACAAAACTGGTAGTAAAATTAATTATTTAAGAATTAGTAGTAAAGTCTACGTACAGTCAGACAAAAAATTAAAAATAAAATAGGTTGCTGAAATAATAAAATAATAAGATAAAGTCAGTAGTAAAAATCAGGTTTAGTCAGACAAAGCTAGTAGTAAATATTAAAATAATCAGATAAAGTTAGTAGTACGAAACGGTTTTAGTCAGACACAGCTGGTAGTACAAATATTATAATCAGTAAGAGGTTCTTACTACTTACTAAAAAATTTGCAAGTTTGACCGTAACTGTCTTTTACTACTAATACAAGAAAAAAATTGTAAGTCTGACCTAAACGATCTTTTACTACTGTTACGACAAAAAATTTCGTAACTTTGACTTTTACTACTGCAACTAAAAAAAATTCGTTTAGTCTGAGTTGCAAATTATAATAACTGGAAAAAGTAAGTAATTTTTTCAGTCTGACAAAACTAGTAGTAAATATAAAGTAA